TATACCAGAACCCGTGCTCCACTCTTTCTATGGGTTATTGCAGAACAGCTTTCTGGGTGGTCTTGAACCAGTTCTCCCACCTTACACACTTGTATTTCTCAATAATAACTGTAGAATGTACTAGAAATGCAACATCCTGAAATTTAAACAAACAAAAAAAGTAGTCTGGAACAGCCTTGGTTCTCCTGCTTTCCCTATACATAGAATATCTTTCAATGCTTTAGCTCAGCAAATCTTCTCACCATAAGGTATAAAACCCAGGGCAGGTGCTTTTTGCAGGATCTGCACATGTACCCTAGAACTTAAAGTATAATTAAAAAAAAAAAAAGAATTTCAGTAGAAAATAAAGAACCTAGGCATTTTAGCAAATGAATGAGAAAGAGCAACGTACCAATTCAATTCACTTATTTTGGCCTCAAATGTTTCTGTGGTGCAGATGTCATGTTAATTAGAATTAACTCCAGTAAGAGGTAAAGGAAGATTAAGTTTCATTTATGCAATTTTTCTAATTGTCACCTCCCATGGTCTTTTTAAATATTATATTCAAAGCTATTATAATTTTCTAAATTGCATTTTAATAAATTTTGAAGGCTGTGACTGTAATTAAAAAGGGTACACCTGCTAAATAATGAACTAATAAAACATCATATAAGAATCTATCATATAGTCTTCTGACTGCACTCATTTATCAAGCCATGAATTTTAAATAAAAATATATGGTTTCAAGACATTCATAAGTATTTATAACTTAAGATTAGTAGGAATGGTAAATGTCATTTCAAAGAGTTAGCATCACCAATTTTGTGTGGGTATGCAGCATCCTCAATTATTGCCTTCTTGGAAGAAAGAATTCAACTGAGGGGCATAAGGCAGAGTGAGAGACTGAGGCAAGTTTTAGAACAGGAGTGAAAGTTTATTAAAAAGTTTAGAGCAGGAACAAAAGGAAGGAAAGAACACTTGAAAAAGGGCCAAGTGGGCAACTTGGGAGATCAAGTGTACTGTTTGACCTTTGGGACACAAACCCCCACTTGGGGTTTTATTCATTGGCATACTTCCGGGGTGCTGTGTCCCTTCTACCCTGATTATTCTCTTGGGGTGGGCTGTCTGCATGCACCGTGGCCTGCCAGCCCTTGGAGGGACCGCATGTTCAGTGTTTACAGAACACTTGAGGTGTTCTTCCCTTACCAGCCAAGTGTTCCTAGAAGAAGGCCAGGTAGCAGTTAAATTCCACCATGCTGCCTTAGTGCACATGGTTGAGCCCACCTACCTAACTCCTGAGATCTCATCAGGAAGCTGCTGATCACCAGTTTCAGGTGTTTCTGTCTACTGGGAGACTGCTTTTCCTGGTGCCAGCTGTGACCAATTATTATTTTAGACGGCCATTTTAACAACCGCCTGACCATCACCTGATGGTTCCTGACTTGCCCGGTGGGGAAGGACCTCTCCTGCCCTGCTCGTGTCTGACTACCTACCCACTGTAATAAAAATAAGGAAAATGTGTAGGAAACAAAAGCGTATCAAAGAAAAAAGGCATAACTCAATAATTGTTCGACATTATCCTGAAGTTCTAAAGACCAGCCCTAAAATGCCTCAGAGCTAAAGCCCCTCTGAAACCCAATCCTTCTTAACTTTTTATACCTAGAGATATTTCTTAAGAATTAAGATGTATTTCTTAATACATCTCCAAATTTATAATCAAAGAAATACCAACAACTGTTTGCAAATATGCCCTAAACAAGAGACACGAATGAAATCCATTTGAAGGGGCTACACTGTCTGTGGTATATACCCTGGGGTTCACTGTCACACACTGAGAAAGAATTCAGGACACAGACACACATGGGTGGGTTAAGGAGCAGAAAATTTAATAGAAGAAGGGAGAGAGGAGAGAAGCTCCTTGTGAGAGACAGAGAGGCATGCAGAAAAAGGGGAAGGCAGAGGACTGCAGCAGATTTTATAGGCAGGTTGGAGAAAGCAGTGTCTGATTTACATAGGGCTCACAGATTGGTTCAATCAGGTATGACATCTATATCGGGAACCAGGGAAGGCTGGTTGACTTACCCTAATCTTCTTATGCAAATGGACTTTCCAGTTGATTGGCACCATCTTGTCTGCTCCTTTACAGTACATGGGGCTAGGAGAGAAGGGAAGATGGGACCACCATCTTGACCATCTCTAGCCCTTACTTCATGCCCACATTCACCTGTGCAAGCTCCCAGCTTGCAGGCTGCTCGGTTAGGAAATTATTTGGGGCTGTTTTTAATAAAAAATAAAAGCCTTACTGAGGACTCCCATACCCTTTCTATCTGCCTAATTGCTTCTTAACTCATGTATCACATTCAGTACATTGGAAGTAGAAATGTAAAAAGAATAATTTTAACACTTCTCTCTTGACACTCTTTAAGATGTCCTTTTATTGACAAAATCAATTTTTAAAAATTTATATTCCCACCTCTGCATTTTAAATATGTTGTTTTTCTATGGTGGGGTTTTTGTGGAGAAAGCAGGCAGGGGAATAAAATGGAAGAAGAACTAGGTCTCTTTAACAGTTAGACCCACAAGAACTAAGTTCTCAAATCTAACATAAGTGCTGGCCCAACAACCGAAAACTCCCACCCATCTTAGTTCTGGTGTCAGCCTGACCAAGGCAAGGCAAGGTAAGACCTACATATGGGCCAAGAAAATAGAATGGTTTATAAATTGCCACAATCAATGATGGAGAAAAACAAGATCATCCAAAACAAATGACGCCCTGTCAAGATAATTCAGTTTGTTAATTTTACTAGCTAATAAGTCTCTGTTACATCTTTATCTGTCGGAGACAAACCAGCCTCATCTGTATGACATAATCAATCAATTATAAAAGTCACTATATGAGCTTTGGGGCACTGATTTACCCTGAAAGATCTCCAACCCCAGGCCTTGCCTTCACCTGAAATCATAAAATAGATATAGGAGTGAGATTTCAGACATGCTAAACACAATGTAGTTTGAGAGACGGGTCTCTCAGAAGCTCAGAGAAGCCACAATTTGCAGCTCTGAAGCACAATTTGCCTGATTTTCAGATGTGGCTGCAGGCTCTTAGTTACTCCCATGCAGATCACTTGTCTGAACTCTAGGGAATAATGAATTCAGTTAAGCCAATTGCTCTTGTCTCTGGTGTCAATCAAATCCCAGCGCATGCTAATGGGATCCATCTCATTCAGCACATGCTCTTAGACCATTCACACAGTGCTATTGCCCACATCACCCTGGCAGCTGTTTCAAGTTAGTGGAGCTTCCAAAGTATTTGAAGGAGACAAATAGGTTACCTCCAACTCTTGACTTTCTTATTTAGTCTAATGTCTTGTAAGAAAGATACTTTGTGAAATCATTCTACTGGTAAAAGTATATATCATCAAAATTAGCAGGCCTACCCATAGGAGCTTCGCAGATGAAAGAGAGTGCACTTTACACAACTATAGTCAATAGGTGTTCTTTTAATGTCCTAAAGCTGTGTCCACCAAAGTCCTGCATCTTGCATTTGTATTCCTGTTCTCTCAGGGATTGTTTGGTTGAGTTGCTCTTTATTTCTAACACTATCACTAGATCCAGCAGGCATTGTGGAGCATGTATGACACATACTACACATATTACACATAGTAGTATCTTCTGTATGTGGGATATGTGACTCAAAAGTATCAGCAAGTCAGATTACAACCTCTTAGGGAAAATCAACAGCAAATACAAGCTCACAGGTTGTGTGTACAGTTGACTTGTACACGACTTTGGATGCAAATTGACGCAATACCTCTTCATATTACAGTCATCTTTAAAGAGCGGACAGCATTCTTGGGGGCCTGAATTGCTAGGTAACTAAAATGTGTGTATGTAGAATAAAATAATCTTGGAAAAAAGATGTTTTCATAAGCCCTCTCTCTAAAATAAGGCCACCTTCTTTGAGGTAGAGGCTCTGTGCCTTGTGGAAGGAAAGCCACTTTATAAAGCAGCACAAGAATAGCCAGTTATTGAAAGGGCCGTTATAAAATTACTAGCCAGTGGTATTCACTGGTCTTAAAATTTGTCAATCCATTCATCCCTAGGAAAAAGAAAGCATGAAAGAGAGTTCCGTTCACAGGTAGAAACAATTTATGGGAAGGCTTTGGAAATGTAGAACTATTGTTTGTGATGACTGTAAGAAAAAGAGGGGCTGCAAGAGCGGAGCACCATGAGGGGCCACTGGAATGACAGCACAAAGCAAGGTAGATTCAAAAAGGGGAGTAGACGTTTGTTTAAATGGTTTATCCTGATAAACCCAGCTTTGAAGGCAGCCTGGGTCATTCTTGGAAAAGGCCATTCTTTGTCTTCAGTGACCCCAGAGACATCATAGTAAGAGGGTGGTGATGATGCAGCAGCCGGGACCAGGTCCCAGTCGCGGTGGACAGGACAGAACGGACTGGATGGAGCAGCAGGCTGGGGCGCCACCAGGTACCCGCAAAGCCCAGGGATGCGGCTCCTCCCCTGCGCCCCAGCTGCTCGCTGCGCCCCCTCCGGGCCGCGCGGGCTCCGGCTCCCACGCCGGGGCTGCCTCTCCCGGATTTCAGCCCGGTGGGAGGCAGTGCCCAGAGCCTGTTTTTCCTGATCTCACAAAATCCTAAAAGCCGAGTCCCTACAACCAGCAGACAAAACTGCTCTCCAAGCTTCGGCTCCTTCCTGCTTTCCAGGCGTTTCTCCAGGAATAACTTACACTTAGTGGCACGGGGAGGAAGGTGGGGACTGGGGGGTCGGGGGTCCCCCAGCATGGAGCACCCACGTTGCAGTGTCGTGTTGGAGTGGCTAGGGTGGTTTGTGCCCAGCCCGCCCCACCAGGCCCTGTCATCTGCGCACCGAGACGCCGGCTGGCCTGGGCGGCGGGGTGGGCGTCTCCGGGTCTGTGGCTCCGTCCCGTCCGCCCCCGCCCCTTCCTCCCGGCCGGCGCCGGCGCTGTGCGACCTTTTCCCCAGCGCGCGGCGCTGCGCTCGCTTTTATCCCGGAGCCCCGTCGCTTCGTGCGCTGCCAGCGGGGCTCAGCCAGTCGGCTGGAATTGAGTAGCATTCATTGAATCTGCGGATTTCATGACGTCTCCCTGCGTGGTCCATCACTTTTCTCCTAACCGGGGATTTTTTTTTTCTCTTGCCCTTCCCCGCTTCCTTCCACCCAGTCTCCCTCCCCCGTCCCTGCCCAGACGCGCGCCCCTCCGCCCCTCCTTCGGCCCCGGCGCCCAGCCCGGCTCTCGGCGCTCGGCCGGAGGGAGCCAGTCCGGAGACGGCCGCACCTGGCTGGAGAGGCTGGGCGGGCGGAGGGGTGGAGACCCGCGGGCGCCGGGAAGCCGGACCCGGAGCCGGAGCCGCGGCGAGCAGAATGGAGTCTCCTAACAGCCTCTCGGGGCTGATGTGAAATTTGACCATCTGATTCCAGTTTTTTTTTTTCCCTTTTTCCTTTTCTTTTTTGCATTTCCTTCCCTTGCCATCCGTCGTGTGGCGAATTGTTCAGTCTTGCTCCGTTTCAAGAGAGGAGATCATGATTGAGTGAAACCACCCCGTCCGCAGCCAGGTAAGCGGTGCGCGGAGATGCTCGCGGGCGAGGAGCCGGCGTCCACCTGGGTGAGGCGTTCCGCGCCCTCGGGTCCCCGCGTCCCCTTCCCCAGCTCCGTCGTCGCCGCAGGCGTCTACACTCTCGTGAGAAACATTGTGCCCAAGTCAGCGGAAAGACGAGGGAGAAGCCGGTTACATAACCGAAGGGGAATCTGTTTCATATGGTTTTCATTAGCGACTGAAACTCGCACGGGGGCCGGGTGGAGGAGGGGTCTGCATCCCTGGGCTCGCAGAGACCCAGTCAGTTATTGCAGACATCATTTCAACATCCGCTGGCAAAGGCGAAATACGCTGATTAACTGTCAGGGGCGGCATGTGGTGTAGTCATTTACAGTTCGGAAAAGCCCATTGTCTTTGTGGAAGGCTGTCTCCCTGTTCTGCTTTGCATGGAGAGGAGAGAGACAACAGGAGAGGGAGGAAAAGTGAGGGTGGGGAGAAACATGCGGAGAATGGGAAACAGGACAGTGTAACTCCTAACTGTTCTCTATCCGTAAAACCGAAGATGTGATATGATGACTGAAAACAGTAAATAGGAAGATCTCCCTAGGTGTAAACTGAATTATTTTGTAACTGGAACGCTTTAGATAAAACGAGATGTGTGTGCCATTTAGAGGACTGTGTGGATGTGGATATTTGCTTCCCTGTGGATATACTTTCATTTTAATCAAGACATTACTCTTGGATTCGTTTTTTAAGTGAAATAACATCAGTATTCCCAAAACCCAATAAAAGCCCGGTGGATCCACAGGTACATCTGTTGTACTACGTGCAATATGGTGAGATTCTCAGGGGAAAACATGTCTTAATACAAACAGCCACAGAGATAGGATGAGGTTAGTGGAGAAACAAAATACCAGAATTTTCCAAAGAATTCCTCCTCCACCCCCCCAAAAAAGGAAGAGGGGGGAAAAACCCACAACTCCAGTGTTGGGGAGTTGGAGATGTATTATGTGTTTAGAGCGTTTCCCAACTGCTGTTATCCAAAGCCTTCCGATCCCCGGGAGCCCCACACGTACAGGGGGCAATGCAACATCCCCGCCAGCCCGTTCCCTGCCTGCCTTTCTTTTACTGAAAAAAACGAAGAAGGGTGATGCCCAGGAACTGCTTAGGGAGGGGAAAGGGCTTGCTATAGTCAGGGCTGAGCTAACTGAGCTTCGCCCATTTTGCCTGGAGAAAGAAAAAGAGCTCGAGTCTCCATGGCGACCCAGGTGGAAGGGGAGACTGCAGCTCCAGTTACAGGGGAAAAAATTTGGACAAAACTTTCCTGGCTCCAGGCAAAGGAATAAGCCAGCCGCGTGCCCTGTGGCGGGTCCCAGGGCATCGGCTGTGCCCAACTCTCTGACGGCGGCGCTCAAGAGGGCGCCCAGAGCTGACCGCGTGCTCCTCAAACCTCCCGAAAGTTGCCGAGGTGGGATGGGGGCGGGCGGGGGGGGAAGAGGGGGTGGCGCGGAGGTGGTGGTTCCCCAGCGGGTTCCGGATTCAGCACCAAGGCCAGAGCCCAGGCGCCGAGGGTGCAGCCTCCTCCCAGTTCTGCAGCCCCAAGCGAGCGGCACCGACTCCTTTGGTCACTGGAGGTCAATCGCTTTCTATAAAGAAAAGATTCCTTGGCTCGGCCAGAATCTGGATATCAAATTATCCACGGAATTAGGTGAAGCAAAGAAGCTTGCAAATCATCCATTTTATGCATGGCGGTGCATCAGAGGAACTATTCAGAATCAGGAACACTGGGACAGGGAAAGACCTGAGCTGAACTTAGAGTGGAGACAGGATACCGTCCTTAGGGGGAAGAAAAAGGACGCGTGCGCGCACAGACACACACTCGCACGTACGCCGCCCATCAGCCCCTGAGGAGGGTTGCTAGTTTCAGCTGAGTCCCTTTGGCTTACAAAAACATGCCTCCTTTGCCCTCTCACGCTCCTCTCTTTAACTTTTTGTTGGGCATAGATGGCAGAAGGGAGCTGTGGCAGCACCCTAGTCAGTGAGAAACCAGCCAACCAAGTACTTTCCTAGGGTCCTAGGACTCAAAAGGGTGGAGAAATAGTTTCCTCTCAGTCTAGACCTGGCAGGATTCAAAGCAACACTGGTGAGCTCCTGGAAAGGAGAGAGAGTGTGTTAGCAAGATGAGAGCCAGTGATCACATCTTCATGCCTGTGTGTGAGCAAGGTGGCTACATTTCCTAGGTTGCAGGCATAGGAAACCAAGAGGAGTCACTTCTCTTAATACAAACAAGGAAGAAACTGCAGGAGGGAAGGATTTATTTCCATTCAAGTTCCATTTCAACATTCATACAAGGAAAAGAGGTAAGTCCATCCAGCTCTTCTGCTCTTGCTTTACTAGAAGCTGGTCTTTGCCCTGCTCTCATCCTTGGTAGTAGGTCCCCCACCACCACCACCATCACTGATATGAAGCGGAAAATTAGTATAGGAAGGTGGCAGTCATGTTTGCAATAGAACGCCTGTAAGAGTGCCGTCCAGGTGTTACAAGGTTCGGTTTGAATTGCAGAGACCAGTCAAAGGTTTGACAGCTGGCTGGAAATGTTGATAAAGGTTTGACAATATCCCTGGCTGCTTTCCTGTTTCATGAATATACTTGTGCATGAGGTCTTGAGCTGGTTCTGGTTTGTTATTTTTAGTGGTAAACAAGATATGATCCTGGCTTTTTTTCTGGGCTTTCCAAGTGTGACACGTTGTTGTTTCTAAAGATACCGCATGCTGAGCACTCAGGATGTGGTTAAAGCAGTGTGTTTATATCTTCCAGTCTTTTCAAATGATTGTTAGTGAAGGCAGAGCAATTTATTTCAAACCTAAGCCAAAGGATGAGTTATTGCACTATTTCTTACATTTCAGTTCCTGATAGGCATTGATGAGTTTATCCATAATTTAGTTTATGAAAGGGTTGCTACCTAAAGTAGACAGAAGAAGTGATGCATGGTGTATTAAACAAAGCAGCTGTTCCCTGGGCTTTGTTCCATCTGATATTATCAGCAGAAGGAAGTAGACATTCATTGTGAAGGTAAAGCTATACAAGAATATAGACTGTTAGATAAACAAAGTAATGTATTTCTGAGTTCTAAAGTTCAATTTCTGTTATAAATTTAAAAAGAGGGGTGGTGTCAATAATCTGGGTATATGAAATTGCTCAGTCAATAATTTAGTTCTGGTAGATTCCATGCTCACATATTCAGTGCGTATTCACCAAACTATGGCTTGCTTTCTTCCTAGGTGGCTAATTGATGAGCAAAGTGTCACTATGCCCTTTGCAGTCAATAGGATACTCCAAAATAATTGGTTTACTCATTTCAAGTAAGATTTGCTAAGGAGAACAGCTTGTGAAAATTCATCCCCATTCACTTGGTTCCATTTTTCTGTTTAAAAAAAAAATCATTTTGATTCCTCGTCTAGATATTGCCTAAATGATAGTTACCTCATCTCAGTATTGCCTAAACATTGGTATATAGTGTTTTCGTTTGTGTGACCCAGGTCTTTATTTAATATGTAGAACTTACATGGACTTTTTCCTTTAAGAATATAAAAAGGCTTTTAATTCAGTCTCATTTTCATCCCTATCCTTCTCAGTCTACCTTTACTTAATAGAGGAAAAATTAGAATACTTATTTAAGAAGCAATAGAAAAAATTCATTGGAGATTAAAAATAAAATACCCTTATGGAATCTTAATCCCATTCGCTGATTTTCACTGGTAGAAAATGTTTCTGTCCACCAGGGTTTAATGTTGACTATGTAAACCTTCATGAGAACAAAACAAATCCTCTTTATGTAAAGTCAGGCAGATAAAGTGAAGCTCTTCTCTTTTTCACCAATTCTTCCTTTATCAAATAATACATAAGCAATACGGAAATGGAAATGGACCAGAGATAGGTGGAGTAGGAAGAAGGAAGAAAGTGAAGGGAAAAGGCAGTTACTTATTGCTGCCAGCTTTAAAGTGATAATACTTTTCAAAGTAAGGTTGGTTTTTCTAAGTTCGTTGTCTCAAAGCTTTAAGTTTGGTGGAATTATGATGTTTAAATTCAGTGAATTTGGATTTATAGCTTCTTGAGATGGCATTTATTGTTTCTTTACTTTATCTTCAATAATTGACATGTAAGTACCAAAAGAGAATTGATTGACTCTGGAGTTTTACAAAATTATTAAATCTGGTAATACCAGTAAGGGGGGAATTGGCAGTTAAGTTGAAAAATCATCAAAACACTTTTGTTGAATTAGAGTTTTCTTTTTAATTGTAGTGAAAGTGTTTGGGGAGATAGAAAAATAAAATATAGCTGTTTGGGATAAAAATACATTTTAAGATGCATTTTAAATAATTATTTCCATAAATAATTAGGATCCAATAAAAAGAAGAGATAATCACAACAGCAGTTAGTGCTCTAATGGTATTCTGAATTTCCTCTGGCAAAGTACTAGAATATACACATACTTGCTATTATTTTAATAACATTAAATAATAGCAAAATTATTTTTGTCAAATAAGGAGCAGTCTCATCATTAAAAGAATAGTCTCTATCCTCACTAAACTGTAGCTTTGATCTAACCATACCTCCTAATCAATTGTAAATATTCATTTATTTATTTGTTGCTAAATTGAATCATTGTTTAAACAAAACCAAATCAGAGAATGATTTTGTGCAGTGTGCAATGTTCGAGTAGTCATTCAGATCTGTATTTTATCTGGAATGCATTAAGGCCATTAGTCAACTTTCCTAGTTATAATATGTAAAGTTAACCCTAAATTTTAACCAAGTGACTATTTAATTTATGACTATATAAATGTATTCGTGTCAGATGAAACCCATAATCTCCTTCAGTCTCATGTTTCTCATTTTTTTCTGTATAGCTGTGCTTAGGACTAGGAATCATACAGTACTGGTGATTCTTTTAGTGAATAGAATTTGGCTAACATGCATCACCGGTCTTATTCGCAGTCACAGAGATGCGGTTTCCAA